TTAACAGTAGGAAATTTACAAAATATCTTCATGGAACATGATCTTTACTTAATATCCTAATGAATTTTGGCATAATAGAAAAATCGATCATTTTGACCCATACAATGTATTTTTGGCTATTGCTACAAATATACCCCAGACTGGTTTTGTGCTCCAGGGTCACATATATGCTCTACATTCATGGAAAAGTAGATAAATTATGCATAAAACACTTACTGTAAAAATTTGCAAAAGACAAAAACCACAAGTTTTTTTCTAAAATATTATAAATATTATATAAATTATACTATATTGCATAATTTTAATTAAAAGATTAAATATTTCAGAAAATAAATAAATATATTAAATAAATATTAAGCAAATATAAACATTAGATTTACTTTTATATCATGTTTTAACTTAATTCAATTAACTTATTTTTATTCGTAGGTTTTGCCTATGATTCACCAGATGATAATAGTGAGTCAATTCATGCTTTACAGTTACAGTGATATTCCAAGTCATGGAAAAGTGGATACATTATGTATAAAATATTTACTATAAAAATCTGTAGAAATTATTTCCTTATAATATTTGGAATATATAACTTATAATATAATACTTATAATATTTTAGAAAATCTAAATATTTCTTTTTTGTAGTAAATACTTATGTAGTAAATATAAATATTATATTTACTTTTAGAATGTTTATTTACTTTAAAAATAGGTTTTTAATATTGTAAGTATATTGTAAATAATATTGCATTGTATAATATTGTAAATTATATTATATTGGATAACATGAATTAAAAGAAGAGTCATTTGATAATAATAATAATAATATAAATAAAAATAGTATCTATAATAAATATTTATGTAGTAAATATAAAAGTTAGATGTTATTTTATTTTATGTTTTATAGTATTTTTAAACTTCTTTTGTTGTTGACATCAAACAACAACAACAACAAAAAGTGGTTCTTAACTAGTGGTTCTTAAATGCACTGCATTGCACCAATGTCAACATTTATGGGTTGTATAAAAGGCCCTCGTCCTAAAAAACAATGAATAAAACTACACAAGGTAAAGAAAATATTCCAGATCCAGATTACATTAAATACAGGTCCACATGCAACAAAGATAAATGTGTTTTGTGCAGTGAAAAACTGGAAAGCATGAAGCATTAAACCATCAAAATTCATTTTGAAATCAAATGGCGCTTTTCCAAAACTTTTTGGTTGTTAAAAAAAGGTGCACTCGTTCAAAACGGTTGCGTTCGATCCTTCGCTGGCTGTGCTGATTTAAATCTAGCGGTTCTGTTGTGTTTGTGTCGCAAGTTCAGTGTCGCAGGTAGTGATGATTCTCTCCGGCCAATCCGTGATCAGCAGAGTTTACACGTCACATTTTGGTAACGGTACGGTTCACTTGGAACCCCAACCGAGGTGGTACTAAAAAAAGTACCAGGTACCAGGTACTGTACCCAGTGGAAAACCCCCAAAAAGTGAACCGTACCGAGCCGTACCATGCAGTGGAAAAGCGCCAAAGAGTCATGCTAATAATTTTACTTCTTGTTTGGCCTTTGCAGTCATCACTTGATTTTCAGTGTAAAATGTGTCCTGAAGCAAAACCAGTTGAATCCAGTTGGATTTTACTTGTTAATCCAATATATTTATCAACAAAAACACACAATTATTGAGCATTATTAAACACTACACAGCACTATGGGGGTTAATAAGCAGCTCGCCGTCTCCTGACCTTGATTTGACCTTTATCGCAGGGTTCACTGCACACTGATTTAATAATGTCATCTTTGTTGGGCCAGATCTCGTCGTCATCGATCTGCAGTCCGCTGTTGTCCCAGCTGCCCACGTTCGTGTAGTCGAAATAATCTTTCCCCATCTTCTTAAAGTTCATGATCACGTAACTACGAACACAGTTAGTAGTATCGATTTAGTGCACTGAAATGAAGATGAATGGAAATGAAGGGTGGATTCATCAGTCTAACTGATGCATTGATCCATTCATTGACTAAGTGACTGTTTGATTGATTGATTGGCAGATTGATTATCTTATTTATTGGATTGGATTAGATTGGATTGGTCTGGTACCTCCCAGGAGAATCGCCGTTCTCGTCAAAATAAATGTTTTCCCCGGACACTCCAGAGAAGTTGGTCTTCATGAGGAACTCGAGGAGCTTTGCACCGTCGATGGGCCGCATGGCATCACACAGTCCTACCATACCGGGACACAGAGCTTTCTGCATGTTGTGGAGGCCGTAGGCCATGCTGTAGATGGCATTAATCACGAAGCCCATTTTGGTGTCCTGCGCGTACTGCTGCCGCAGAGAATCCCGCTCTGAGAGAGGAGGAGGAGAATGGGGTTAATGACAGATAACTCGTCTGTTCCTGCTCGTATCCTGTAGGCAGGTCAATGATGAAGTGTGCTAATTTGCTTATGCTCTGTGAAAATGCCAAGTTCTATCATGAATTTCTAGATGGTGCAGGCTGGGTTGTTAACGCAAACTGATGTATTCACAGCGTTAAACTATTTGGCACAAGCTGATTGGTTCATGTTGCTTGCGCAGCCAATGAGCTTGCTGCTTTACATTTAAATGGCTTCTCGAGTTCCTCTGAAACCCTCCACCTTCCCCAGCTCCACCTGTATAGATCTGCTATGGGTTATAATGTGACCCTGGAGCACAAAAGCAGTCTTAAGTCACTGGGGTATATTTGTAGCAATAGCCAAAAAAACATTGTATGGGTCAAAATTACCGATTTTTCTTTTATGCCAAAAATCATTAGGATATTTTGTAAAGATCATGTTCCATGAAGATATTTTGTAAATTTCCTACCGTAAATATATCAAAACTTAATTTTTGATTAGTAATATGCATTACTAAGAACTTCATTTGGACAACTTTAAAGGCAATTTTCTCAGTATTTTGATTTTTTTGCAGCCTCTAATTCCAGATTTTCAAATAGTTGTATCTCGGCCCAAAATTGTTCTATCCTAACAAACCATACATCAACGGAAAGCTTATTTATTCAGCTTTCAGATTATCTATAAATCACAGTTTCAAAAAATTGACCCTTATGACTGCTTTTGTGGTCCAGGGTCACATATATGCTATTTGTGCAGCAGCAGCATGTCTTAAATACTCACAGCACCGTATCGGCAAATGTATTGTCAGTAGCAAGTTCATGTACTTGCTCTGCAGCAGCAGCAGCAAACATCTACAACAACAGCAATAACCAACAGCAGCAGCAATTCAGCAGCCAAGACCAAATACATTAACATTGTCATATCCATAACCATGCTAAAATCTTCCGAGAGTTGTCATGATAGAACTGATTTCGTGTGGTGGAGAGACCCATATTTCCATCTCCGCCGAGTGAGAGGCTCTTATGCTTATGCAAAGGCATTTTATTGCTCATAATTTTATAACTTCGATAGCTGATTCATTCATGCTATCAAATAGATTCTACTGTTCTTGAAAAAGCTAAACGTTTGTGTCAAAACTCAAGTATTAGACTGTGTTGGTGATTATGAACTGCACTTGAAAGTCTTGTTTTCACAGCAAATTTGATTTCATTCAGAAGTGTCTGATCCCCTCGGCACGCTCTGATTGAAAATTTCGGTTTTGAACTGACATTAAAGCAACATCTCTATCCAAACTGTTGCTCTCTGTCTGTCTGCTCATGCGGGTTTATATGCAAACAGTTTTGATTCCTGTTTCAGAGGTCGTTCTTTTCTTTTCGTCTTTGTTTTTTTTTTTTTTAAATGGGACCATTTGAAAAAGTTTCTTTGAACTCAAGCAGAAGCTCAGATAAATGGAGCTAATGAAAGACAGCGAGAGTAATGGAAGGTGTGATATCGGAAGAAGAAGTCTGGATGAAAGAACGCAATCATGTGTTTCTGTCTGCGAGAGAGAGGATTTGCTTTTCTTTGACTACTGTTCTCCTTCTCAAACTGCTAAACGTCATCGTGGGAGCACATGAGAACACAAACGGAGACTTCAGACACGTTTAATTGTTTTACCGCTGTGGTCACTTACTCCCGCAGGTGCGGTTGTATTTGTTGTTCTCCTGCGGGTGTCCCTTCAGCCGGCAGTGGAAGCGGTGCTGCCAGAACTCGGGGAACCAGGGGTTTCTCAGGTTGTTTTCGGGACGTAGTTTCAGGTAATAATCGTCAAACCACTTCACGTCTGGGGACTGCAGCTTTATGGTGATGCCGCCGGCAGCCTCGCGCACGTACCCGTCAGTGACGTCGTAACGGTCCGCCCAGCCATCACTGTGAGGAAGAGAACGAATCAGTGTGCGAAGTCATAAGGCAGCATCACATGCATCCTTTGTAGAAAACCACAGCATGCATTGCAACAAAATCAGTGGGAAAAATCCATCCAAGATGACAAATAAAATAAAAAAAATTCATTATTATATATTATATGAATGTGTATAATGATAAACAAAAATAAAACAAATATCATAACTCCAAAGCTAATTAAAATAAAATAAATAATCAATATAAAATATAATAATATTAATAACAATTTAATAATAACTTCAATAATAATAATAATAATAATAATAATAATAATTAATAATAGTTTCAATAATAACAATTATATTATTTTGTTTAAAAATATATTAAATTAATTGTTAATGTTAATTTTTAAAATAAATGGTATATATATTATTAAAATATACATAAATATATGATCCAAAACTAACTAAAATAAAATAAAAATACAATAAAAATAAATAATAATAATATAGTAAAATAAATAAACAACATAAAATACAATAATATTAATAATAATAATTTCAGTAATAATAAAGACATACATTATTATGTTTAGAAATATATATAATTAATTTTGTTATTATTAATTTCTAATATTGCAACAATATCAGTAGGAAACATCCTTCCAACATGACAGATAAAGTGAAAAATGTTGATTATCAATGCACTTATAAATTATTCAGTGAAAGGAAGCTAAAATACATTTTCTTGACTCCAAAAATAATTTAAATAAAATAAAAATGATTTCAAATTAATCATAAATAATAATATAATAAAAACTAAATAAATAAATTCATATAATAATAAACAACAAATAAAAC